ATCTAATGAAACACTTAGTCAGATATCTAAAAGGTACTTAGAATTTAGGACTTATGTTTAAATCTGATAAAAATGGTCTTAAACTAAAAGGGTATGTTGATTTTGATTTTGCTGGAAATTTAGACAATAGAAAATCTACCACTGCATATTTTTATGTGATAAATAACACCTGCATTAGTTGGAAGTCTCAGCTTCAAAAATTAGTTGCCTTATCATCCATTGAAGCTGAGTACATTGCAGCCACAGAAGCTGTAAAAGAAGGTCTGTGGGTAAACGGTCTATTAAATGAATTGGGTTTTATAGAAAATAAGGTGGAGATTTGTTCAGATAATCAAAGTGCTATTTTCTTAAGTAAAAATCCAGTGTTTCACGATAGAACCAAACACATAGATGTTAAGTTTCACTTCATAAGGGATATAATTGAAAATGGTGATATAAAACTGGTAAAAATTTCCACTAAAGTGAATCCAGCAGATGTAGGCACAAAGGTAATACCATTGAATAAATTTCAAGATTCTTTGAAATCATTGAATCTTGAAACTAACTAGTCTTTTTTGTTTTGACAGGTTTAACTGAACATATGAACTGAGATGAAGTTTGAGTCCACTATTGAGAGTTTTAAAAATGAAGCAAAGGTGGAGATTGTAAATGGGTTGCTACATTTTTTAAGCACATTTATTAAAATGGTCCAACATAGCCAACCCAAGTAACCGGGTCCTTTTTTTATCCAATTAAGTGAAGTTTCTGGAATAGATTAAAAGCGTATTTTATGTTCTGTGCATTGGTGCGTTTTAAATGGATGGATGACACTTGGTGAAATCTGGATCAGTGGATTAGCGATTTATTGTATTTCTTTTAAATTGAATTCTTCGTTCTAGGGTTAGGGTAGTGGTTTTGTTTTCTTCGTTCCTCTCTCGTCTCCTTCGTGATTTTATCTTTGAGAGTCTATGTAAATTCATCTTCTTGATGATTTTACTAATCTCTTGTGAGATTATTATATACTGAGTGTTGAGTACTCTTTGTGAGTAATTTGTATAGCGAGAAATCAGAGTTTGAGAGATTATTTGTGTTCGAACCTTTCTGGTTTAGATCTGTAACATTCTTGCCCATTTTAAGGGATCTCTTAGTGGATTTGAGCTAAATCCTTAGCGATGCTCAAAGGGGATTAGGCGTAAATAGCGGTCGCCGAACCTCGGGGCTACGGCCGAAAAATCTTGTGTTCTTATTTTGCGATTTTACTTTCTGTTTCAAAACAAAAGTCGTCTTTAATATAAAGTTGATGTATTTGGGACCAACATTGCAAGATGGACATGGCGTTTACAAAATTTAAGAGATATGCTCATTAATTATATTTTCTAACGAATGTAGATAATGCTTTGTGATTTCTCCAACTCGATATCATACAATCTACGTCAATTTTACCAATATTTGTCACATAGCTAACCCTTTCGACTTTCTTAAGTTAGGGAATGCACTGCTTGAAGTCGATATGGTGAAAACGAAGTAAAATATTGGAGAAATCAACATAACGACAAAAGTGCAGTTAAACAACACATGTGTCGTTCTATTTATAAATACAAGTATGAGCACCTACGATGCATTTGAGCCTCGATAATCGATAAGATGAGCTCATTTAAATTGCAAGATGGACATGACGTTTACAAAATTTGAAAGATATGTTCATTAATTATATTTTTTAACGAATATAGATAATGCATTGTGATTTCTCCAACTCAATATCATACAATCTACGCCAATTTTACCAATATTTGTCATATAACTAACATTTTCGACTTTCTTAAGTTAGGGAGTGCAATGTTTGAAGTCGGTATGGTGAAAACGAAGTAAAATATTGGAGAAATCAACATAACGACAAAAGTGTCGTTAAACAACACATGTGTCATTCTGCTTATAAACACAAGTATGAGCACCTACGACCCATTTGAGCCTCGATAATTAATAAGATGAACTCATTTAAATTGCAAGAGGGACGTCGTGTTTACAAAATTTGAGAAATATGCTCATTAACTATATTTTCAAACGAATATTGATAATGCCTTGGGATTTTTCCAACTCGATATCATACCATTTATCTCAATTCTACCAATATCTGTCACATAACTAACATCTTCGACGTTTTTAAGTTAAGAAGTCTAATGTTTGAGGTTGTTGCAGTGAAAACGAAGCAAAATGTTAGAGAAATCAATATAACAACAAAAGTGCCGTTAAACTACACGTGTGTCGTTCTATCTATAAACACGATTATAAGTACTCACGATCTATCTGAGCTTCGATAATCAATAAGTTGAACTCATTTAAGTTGCAAGATGAGCATGACATTTACAAAATTTAAGAGATGCTCATTAATTATATTTTCTAACGAATGTAGATAATGTTTTGTAATTTCTCCAACTTGATATTATACAATCTATGTCAATTTTATCGAGATTTATCACATAAATAACATTTTCGACTTTCTTAAGTTAGGGAGTCCAATACTTGATGTCGTTTCGATGAAAAATGAGCAAAATAATAGAGAAATCAATCAACGGCAAATGTGTTGTTAAACGACACGTGTGTCGTTCTGTCTATAAACACGAGTATGAGTACCCACGACCCGTTCGAGTTTCAATAATCGATAATTTGAACTCATTTAAGTTGTAAGATGGACATGACATTTACAAAATTTGAGAGATATGCTCGTTATTTAATCATCATGAAAAAGGAAAATAGCACAAATGTCGTTACTGTTATGAAACGGCACAAGTGTCGTTACGTATATAAACACGATATGAATAATTGATACCATGTATTCTTTGAAATTAGTTTCTATTAAATCAATAATCTTTAATTTTTGAACATCATTTTTATACTTTTTAGGTGAAATATTTAAAACGACACTAGTATTGTTTTATAATAACAAAATAAAAGTATATCTGCCGTTCTAGTTTTATCGATCCTAAGACAATGACAAAATCAATCGTTCCAAACGTTATAAATAGTTTGCTTTTCAAAATGACAAAAGCAGAATATCATAACACCACCATTATTTTTCAATATTACAAAAATAGCAAATCATAAATCATAAAATCTAACAGATGTGTTGTTTTGTCTTCATCGTTTATGACTCTCACTGAGTGGTACATGATCCGTACAAGTGATACGATTATACCCAATTTTAAAACACCTATTATTCTTATGGTTTTACTATCGCTTTACATAGACGATAATGACTGCAGTATCGTTCTACACTACAGATAACAACTAGAGTGTTGTTATCTCCAATAGTTGTGGACAGCCAAAATACACCAAATGTTAAAAAAAAAATTAAAAAAATCAACTAAAATATCATTTCATACTATATTCAATAATTAAAGTATCAATGTACACGACATTTCTAAAAATACATTTCTTTTTTCTTCAAATATAGGAGAGATTTCAATGTAAATGGTATAAAAATCAAAATTCTTGTTCAAATGCTCAAAATATTGAAGAAGATGTGTGAAGTAATAGATAACAAGAATTTACAGTACTACATGGAGAGCAAGTCGATGATTTTTGGAGATGAAATGAGGAATTTGAATGGATTGAAAGGGGTATTTGGATCTTTTTCTTGGTGAGGGCATTTTGGACTTTTGATATTATTTGTTTATTGTATTTTGTAATTGAAGGCTATTATACCAACAAACATTAAAGTGGGGTTGTTTAACCAAATACATTGTTTGAGTGAGCTTTTTAACAAAATCTCCGTGTTTTAATTGCTATTATATTAAATTTCTGTACCTACTAATTGCATTTGGGTGAAATTTTCACGGCTAATACGATTGACTCAAGTCCATGTGTTAGGCCACATCATTCGTCGTTGTTGAACGTCCATGTCATCAACATTAGTTACATTCTCTAACCGCGCACTAATGAAGTAACCTAATCACTGTTAAATTGAAATTTAGTAACCTAAACGCTACGTAAGTCAAGTTCGGTCTTGGTGATTGAAGTTCAATGATCTAATTACAGATGAGGTGAAAGTTTAGTTAGCACCGGTACAATTAACCAACAATCCACTTTATCTAGCGCCCGTTTGACCCTATCATTCCACATTATAATGATAGAAATAATAATTTTTTAAAGAATCTGTAGTTAAAAAAGAAGGCAAAATTTTTGAATTTACTTGTAATATTATTTTATTTAAAAATATGTTGTTGATAAGAAGATAGAAAAAAATGAATTATAATCTAACGAGGAATAATGGTGACCAAACGGGGGCCTAGCGTGCTTGCCGTGGAATCCTAGGATGAGAGAGAACATGCTGACTAGAAAAGATTATAAGCCTTGCCTTGAAAGATTGAGTTAATAACACAAATAGTTACTGAACTTTGCAAAAAAATTTCAGCGGGTCACTAAATTTTAAAAATCACCAAAGTCATCATTGAATTTTACAGAAGATTTTCATAGTATCACTGAACTTTGTAAAAAGTTTTCACAGGTCACTAAATCTTAAGATTTATCTCATTCATCATTGAACTTTACAAAAAAAATTTCACCCGAAATTTTTTTTGTAAAGTTTAATGACTCCATAGAAATCTTTTACAAAATTCAGTGATGAATGAAGCGATTTTTAAAGTTCAGTAACTCTGTGCATACATTTTACAAAGTTCAGTGATGATTTGGGCCATTTTTAAAGTTCAGTAACCCAGTGAAATTTTTTTGCAAAGTTCAATGACCATTTGGATTATTAACTCGTGAAAGTTTAGTGAGCACTGGTGCAATTAACCCGACAATGCACTCTCTATTGTTGTCGCCGTGGAATCTTAGGATAAGAGAGAACATGCATGTCACCTGGAAGAGATTCTAAGCCTTGCCCTACATATACTTGGATGTCTATTAATTCAAGTATGCATTAGACGTGGATATGCCTCATTGCTGCATCATAGATTGCAAACTTGTTAAAAAACTGAAATGCCAACCCAAAAAATAGGACTGTATTTACTGAACAATCGACATTGCATAAGCCCATGTTTCCTTCATAGAGACTAGAAAAGGTTAGAAACAAATGAGTACAGTGTATAACATTAGTGATGAGATAAATGAAAAACCAAGCTCTCGACCGAGTAGGTGACATTATACATAAGAAAACTGAACATACTTACTCATTGTGTACGAACATAAAAAATGTGGACAAAAACTGTCCTCCATAAATGATACTTAAGCCTGCAAAAAGCTTGCATATTTGGCACCTAAGAAAAGCCTTTGGATGCAGAGCAAAGCATTTTTGGTAACCTCTGCATTTTCATGGTTCATCAGTTTCATCACCGGTTCTTTTGCTTTGAGGTTAGTCAGGATGATACGCCCAGCAGGATGGTAGTGTATGAACTGTGAGAGATCGAAGCAAGCAACGGCAAGCGTTCTAACATCAGTGGACGTGTCCAAAATTGTTATGAGGACCTTCAGGATCTGTAGCAACATATTTGATATTAATTTCGTGCAACACTGAAAGATAAGTAAGAAAATGCAGAAGATTTTAAATTTTGTACTACCTATACTAATGCAATATCAATGACAAAATAAACAGAGCACAACGAAATAAAATGGAACAGTTAGTCAAACAGTAATATCGCGATTCTTTACACTGATTAGTTATGTAAATAACTTAAGCCCATTTCTGTGTATGCCATCATTGCGATAGATTGCTAGATACATCTTCGAACACCAATCTTATCAGAGAAAAATGCTCACAGAACAAAGCTACAAAAAATAAGAATTTACTTCTTTTTATCTTGGGAGAGGAAGAGGACATATGACATCATACCCCGCGATGGCAATAAAGCCAATTGAATAATTAGTCAACTTTAGATCCTTTGTCAAACAGAAAGATTGATGAAACAAAGTAATAAAGATGCAGAACTGGGCAATTGAGGAGGAAGGGGAACAACAGGCTGTAAATCTTACCTTTAATCCACTTTTCTCAAATATATAATCATTATCAATATCCAATTAGGAAATTAGGAAGAGAAGTTGAGAGTCCACCATGAAGTATTTGTGAGAAGTCGCAAGATAAGGCTCATCAGCATTTATTGAATGATTTTAACAAGGATAATTCAGAGTGAAGCAGTCCATTTGTTGTAGGTTTGAACCTAGACACTAAAGCAGTCACAAGAATACTTCCCACACCTGTATAAGTTTTTCAGTGGATTTTCATGTCTACAATGTCAAGTTATACATACAAGTGCAAAAGCTACAGCAGCTCAACTTACAAGGAGTTATGTTATCGAAATAGAATAACAAAATAAAAGTAGCCGCAGAAATAGAGAAATACCTTGAAATCGTTTTCTTCGAAGTTGGTAACATTGTCCTGCCAGAATAAAGGATCTTTGTGCATAGGTGACCAATCAAGATGTCCAAGGAGGACAGCCTGCTTATATTTATCAAAAGAACTTAGCTTCTTTATATTATCTTTAAGTCCTTCTTCCAGTTGATTTAGAGCTTCCAGCAGATCCTACACAAAACCAATGATCACATAAGCACATATAAATCAAGGGCCAGTAATGGATAGGCGGAAGATGCGACTGGCTCAGCATATTGCACAGTGAATCAGTGAAACATGTTGCGATGACAACAGTACCTAAATTTTTAAAATGCCATCACAGTGAATCAGTGAAACATGTTATTTTACCATCTGTGTTATGAACACTTAAATATTGCTGTCTATTGGAGATTGTGTCAAGTTATAAATGATAAAATTATCGAGGGCACACCCTAACCCAGCAAAAACAAAAAATAAATGAAAAGAATTGCATACAACCATCATCAGCATCTTGGCAGTATGAAATCCTAGAAAAATCAGTGCATCGGGGCACATCTACAGCTATCAACTCTGGCAAATCATCGCCAAAGAAAAACAAACCTTTTCTCACATGCATGTACATGTATGCACAACACGTGAATTCTGTTCTCTGGTAGAAAAGAAAGAATTTAAAGGGTTTTCCCAGCCGTAAATGTAATATAACTCTGGCAACCTTCCTCTGTGTAACTGTAGCGGAAAAACATCCTCTTTACAGAAAATATTTTCATTTAACTTAATTTTGACTTGAGAAATAAAATAATCAATTTATTATTACCATGGAAAAAGATTTTATCTCACCTCATCATTCCACGCCTGTGCTTTCAAACTTTGAACAAGCCGTGGCACTCCTAGGTCTACCATCTGAGCACCAAAGTTCCCCTTGTGGAGCAAGTTCCTAAGAATCAAGACAACTACCCTGACAACCTGTAGCAAGCAGGATCTGATGTTACAAAATTCAGGTGCATAAAATACACTGTTCGCCAATAGTTAGAATAAATAAATTCTCAAAATGCTGTTCAATAGAAAGTAGTCTGTATAAGAATATTTGAAAACTGTGATTAAGCAAAGTCAGAATTGTTATCAAGAGTAAGACAATCAAAGATATAACCTTTTTATAAGAGTCCTTAGAATTTGGATGATAAAGGTTGATTTTACTACTTGATACAAAGGAACTCACCTTTTCCTTTGTGGATCCCTTAACAACTTCAATCAACCGTGGAAGGGTTCTAGACGTAGCCAAATACTCAACCGCAGGATCAAAGTAAGACAAGAGCCAAATACAAAGACATGTTTCATAGAGGAGCTGTTTCAAGGATAAACAAAAACCAGATATTACAACCACAAAAGTTGTAAGATTTCCCACTTCAAGACATGCTGAATGAGATTCAGAACCCAAGCCACCAAGCAATATCTAGGACGCATATAGCAAAATTGGGACTATAAATTAATTACTCATTCTGAATAGAGGTAGTACCTGGATGGACTGTTGAGTGGATGCAGGAGAAATTAGAGGAACAAGCAGCTTCACTCCATCATCTTGAACAAATGAAGATCGAACCACAGGCTCCTTGAGCAGAATTGCAAGGCAATTGATAGCCGTTGGAATGCCACGGCTAGGATGGGTAGGTTTCTTCAGCTGTACAAGTAAGCAGGTATAAGGAAGTGAATTGCTTTCTATATCAAGTGAATGTAGATCCAACAAATTTTCCTAGCCTAATAAGTGAAAGAACTTATTAAGCCCCCGTTTGGCGAAAATTCAAATTTAAATTTTAATCTAAATCAAAGTCAACAATTAGTTTTAACCATTCATTTAATGGGATCCACAATTTTTCAACTATGGGTTAAATCCATCAATGGCCACCCAACTTTACAACCAGTGTCATCATAATCACCCAATTTTATGCTTAGTGTTAGCATGATCATCCAATTTTATTTTATTTCACCATGGCCACCCAATTTCATATAACATTTCACGATAGTTACACAACTCCTTTTCACTATTTTCACTAATTTTAAAAGGGTAAAACAGTAACTTTGCATTATATATAAAAAATAAATTTAAAAAAAATGAAATAAAACCTATTTTAAAAATAAATAAAATAA